CGGGGGCCCCGAAGCCTCGGGCCCGCCGCGCCTCGCAGGGCCACGGCCGCCAGGGTGGTTGCCATAGCGACTGTCCGCTGCCCCCACGCGTGTTAGTGAGTTGGGGGAGCAGCCCCCGGGATCTTAACTGACCGTGGGGCGGGGCCGGGGCGGGGCCGGGGCGGGGCCCACGAGCATTGGAGGAGCCGGGCCACCGGGCGGGGCGGGGCATCGCGCCCCTGAGCAGGGTGGGAGGTGCGACCTATGGCCCTGGGTCATGAGGTCCGGGTGGGGATGGCGCAATGCTTTCATCTGCTGAGGAGGGGGAGGCCCTGGAGGATGAGGGAGCCGGTGGTGTCAGCTGGCTGAGGGGCGTGGGCGTGACGTCCCGGCAACCAGGTTCACGGCCAGGTGACTCGGTGGACCCAGAGTGGACCCACTGCAGCCACTGGGGTTGCCTCTGCTAGGCTGTCGGAGCTCAGTACTGAGCTTTCATTAAGCTTTTTTTTGTGCTGTTGGGGACTGTGCTCAGGGCCTTCACATTGGGCTGCATGCCCAGCCACCTGTTTTTTTTCGATACCGGGAATCGAACTCACGACTTGCGCTTGCCAGGCAGGCACTGTGCCACTGAGCTATATCCCCAGACCCCCCAGCCGCCTTTAAATTTTAATTTTATTTTGAGAGGAGATCTTGCTAAGTTGCTGATTTGTCCAGGCTGGGCTGGAACTTTCGATCCTCCTGCCTCAGCCTCTCACAGTGCCGTGGTGACGGACACGCGCTCCTGTGCCTGGCTGCACCAATGCTTTAAGCCGCTGGAGTCGTGTTAGGACCGACCGGAAGGCCGCTGTCACTGGCCAAAGCGGGAGAACGCCAAAACAGGGAAGACCCCCATCACGGCACTCCTCACCCCTGCAGTGCCTCCTGGTTTAGAGGCTCGCGATCCTCCTTTTCCAGGTGAGGAAACTGAGGCACGGCAGTAGGCAAGAGCCGAGGCACCCTGGTTGCTGACTGGAGCAACTCTGCCCAGGTCTGGCTTCCAAGCTGGCTTTGGAACCGACATGGAAGACTGAACTCGCTCAGGGGAACCCAGGGGTGCTGGACAGGAGCCCGGTGCCCCTTTGGCGCCTGGCACCTTCACCATACGCAGTCCACACCCGCTGTGTGTCCAGGGCCTCTGTCATGCAGGAGAGGGGATCGGCCACGGTGGCGCCTCACATCCTGGGTCCCCTCGGCCTCTTCCTCCCGCCTGGGGCTCGGGGCTTCAGGGCACCTCCATATGGGAGCAGCGTGCCCCGAGTGGGGGCAGCCAGAGTGCTTTGGGGGTGCCACGCCTGGGTTTGGTCCTCAGCACCAAAGTCAGAACTAATAAGCAATCAGTTAATTAGACAGATGGGAGACGCTGGTGAGGGTGCTGCCCCTGGGGGCCCCGGGCGCTGCCCTGCGACCGCCTGCGCTCCTTCAGGCTCCTCTGTAGGAATCTGGGTTTCGGTGGGAGGGCTGCACCGTCCCCCGTGGGCCGCAGCCTCCTCCCGCACAGGGTCCGGGTCCCCAGCGGGAGGCGCTCGGCTCAGGGGCGATGGCGTTCCGCCCATCCTCGCCCTCGGAGCCCCAGGCTCAGCCGCCGGCGGGTTCAGGGCCTCCCCACACCCCAGATCCTCCTCTGCGGCCCCCTGTCGCGACGTCAGCAGGAGCGTGGCGGCTCCCGGGCCCCAGCGCCCCGGCCTGGCCGTCCAGGAGGGCGCTGCTCCCTGCCTCGAGGTTCTGCGGCCCCTCGTGAGCGACGGGCTCCAGGCGGCTGACAGCGGCCCCTGGGCCCGGGCCTACGGGAGGGCCGGCCGCGGGAGGG